CCGAAGAATGTACGGAAGAAAAATGGATCACAAAAGTGTGAACGCTTCATAAGCGTTCACACAATTAGCCGCGTTTGGTCAGATTAGTGCATGAACACAAAGCTTTCCAAATAAAGATGACGAAGCATGACTTTTAAAATTAACCTTGTGCATCCTTCAGCATTTTTGATGCCTTATAATCAGCTTGAGAGCACAGAAGAGAGACGATCCAGTGATTATCAGAAAACACTAGACGGCGAACTCAAATAAATCTGCTCAACCAATTTCAACCCTGAAGTTCATTGACCTGCAGGGACAGCGTGAGCGTCCAACAAACATGTCAGTTTCTCCCAGCCTCTGTCTCTGCAACACAGGGGAGGACCAGCGGCCCCACACGCCACCTGTGTGTAGAATAATCCTTCAGTGAGAGTAACACTTGTGTCTGCAGAGGGATCCAGCAGCTCTCTGTCTGTCTACCTTTGTTTCACAAACATTGTTGTGATGTTTTGCTCAGTCTGTTCACAGCCTCCATGATGTTTGTCTCCTGTGTTTCGGTGTGTTAGTGTTGTGGTAAATATGCAGCACCACATTACTGAATATGGTGCAATGCAGTTCATTAAAACAGCTTTGTGTTTTTAATGCCCGCCACCAAAAGGCAAAGTGTTTGCGCTCATCGCTCCGTTTTTTTTTTTTTTTTTAGTTAACAAAATATCTCCTGAACCACGGGAAAGATTGTAATTAAATTCCAGGAAATACTACAACTGATAAACTTTTGGAGACAGCCCAATTCCAGGCAGTCATCAGCTGACCAACGTTAACCAACACAAAAAAATGTATATAACTCAGTCAGTTTTAAAGCTATTGAGCTACATCTTGGTGTGGTAGTAGCTGAGAGTCACCCCCAGCATGTATTCTGAGCGTGACACCGTAAGTTATAACATGATGTTATTTTAAAGGGTTGACCAACACAGCTAGAGAGCACAATGGCGTAATTTCTCAACAGAAGATGCTCTTAGTCTAAAACTGTTACATGAAAGGAAGCGGGTGATATGCATTCCTCCATGAAAAGCCACAATTTTTACTATAAATATGTAATACTGTGTGTTTAGTGAAAGTTCAGTCAGGGTAGGTTAAATTGTTTTAACTTGCTGGACTAAAGTAAAAATAAAAGCCTTAACAATCAGCTGAAATGCTAAAACAAACTTTTTTGTGTCTTAAATTAATTCAAATTGTGCAAAACTTCGGCGTAGTGAAGCTTTTTCTTTTTGTTGTTGCTCTATTTTAAATGGCACACAGAGGATATAAAACAAGATGTGCTCTTTAGCCACTCGTAATGTTTCTATTCTCTTTTCAGACCAAATTAGGAAGGAAACAAACATGTTTTTCATCCATTATTTTAAATAAGTATTAGGTCAGCTTGAAAAGTAAAATTTACTTTGATGATAATGTTTACTCACTGAATAGTAACTTGTATTTACACTTACGTATGTGTCAAACTATATTACTGTGGACTTTCTCATTGATTTAACTAAAAACATGAGGACAAACTGTGCCTTTGTGACTGGCTGCTGGTGACAAAGTGCCTAAAGATCCTATTTCAAATTGGTTCCTTGCTAGGTTGTCTCGTATGTGTAGACACAATACTGGTTCAACACTTAAATAATTCATAGATCAGAGTTAAGTGGCTTAACAAACAAGTAAAATACCCATTATTCTGAAATGGTCAGGTACTGGACAAAACGAGTGGAAAAAGCAAATGTTCGAAGAAAAGCTAAAATTTGTAGCAAAGAGTTTTGGACAGTGCTCAAATATCATAAATTAAGTATAAGTGTGCATTCATACATAACCACACATCTATGTGTGTATGTGTGCATGTGTGTGTGTATTCAAGGTTCTTTATTGTCATTCACATCACATGTGGTACATGAGGTGGAACGAAATTGTGTACTCAGGGTCCCAGTTACATCTAACAATAGCAAAAATATAAATTGTAAAAAGAAACAGTAAATAAGGATCTAAGATATACACTAAAATAGACGCTAAATACTAATAATGCAAAACAATACACCGAACAACAGCAGCACGAACATGAGTCTTTGTGGGTAGATGAGTACGAATGAATGAATATAGCAGCATGAAATAATCAGCAGCATGAGATCAGCAGCATGGATAATCAGCAGCACATACCACAAATCAAAGTTGCATTACAGTAATTTTTTTCACAGTGATAATCCAGATTAGGGATTTACAGCTTCAGGGTAGAAGCTGTTCCTTGTGGTTCTACATTTAATGCTCCGCAACCTCCTGCCTGAGGAGAGCGTGAGAGGAGAGGATATATATACTGTATGT